TATTAAAATTATTCAATTATTAATGCAAACTCCTGTTATGTTAAGATTAAGAAAAAGGTGTAGAACAAATATTGACTCATGCAATTTGGACAATAAAACAAGAGCAACATGTAGTTATATACAATATAAAAAACAAGAGCGTTATTTTGGTTTCAGGATCCTCTTTTTATTGCCTCTTCTACTCTAGTTGTAGATTAGTGGGTAAAATATGTAATTCAACAACTTAATATTAAAAAAAAATAGCTGGTTGGAGGGTGTGTTTGTTTATTAATAATGCGAGCATATATGTTCATGCCTGTGTGTTTGCCTGTGTGTAATGCCTTTATGTCTATAGATTTTACTTCTGCTCAAGTAGGTCAAGCGTAGTGTCATTTTCCTCTACAGGGTTATTCTCTTGATATTCACATCTGTCCTTCAACATGCCAAATGGAAAATTTGAAAAAGTTGACAAAAATATATATTTCAATCAAAACCATTTCTAAGTAATAGTTACTGAGCACCTACAGTGTCCTATTAATTTTATGTGTTAGTAAAATATGCTCTTCGCTTGTAGCAATGGAACCACGAAAGGAAAGGGAGAGAGTTGCGTGCTCAAGATACTGAATAAGCCAAGAAGAGGGATTGAGACAGAACACAGACTGCTTTGTAAAGGAAGCATAGAAGAGCAAGCTCATTTTCTGGGTTTTCTAAATGATTGTGGAAAAAATGTCTTATGTTTTAGACTTCTTTATGTTTCTGAGTATTGAACAGGTAGTAAAGTTGGTAATCAGCTGACAAATGCCTCAGCGTCAGTTGCTGAGCAAGCGGGAGCCTCAGCCTTGGCTGCCTTCTCCACAGCTTCAGTGGTGCCCATGGCAAGAGCTGGTTTGAGATGGCAGCCCCACCTTCCCTAGGAAGTCAGCCCTTATTCACAGCAGCTGAAAGACAGAAGAGAGAGGGAAGGACCACTGGCACCAATTGGATTTAAGGCTTCTCTGAAACTCCCCTTCGGTGTGAGAACTTGCAAATGTGCCATTAGAAGCTCCTGCAATGGCGCTTCTTGAGGTCCATTTATTTATTTATCCTTTCCTTCCCGGACAAGTGGGCATTAGGAAAACTGAAGTCTGAACTCAGAGAAATCCCAGGACATCTGGATTCGATCTCTTCTGTGACATCTTCACTTTGCATTATTCTACTCTAAGCTGCTGCTGCTGCTGCTCCTCCTCCACTCCGCTCCCTCTTCATCCTCCTCCTCCTCCTCTTTCTCCTCCTCCTCCTCCTCCTCCTTCTTCGCCCCTCTTTCTCCCTCTGCTGTTTGACAGGTGCAGTCACATCCTCTCCCTTTCCATTGCTACAACTCTAGTTCACAGTGTAGTAGTTACCAGGCTTATTTACCTGCTTCCAATCATTCCAAGTTTTATTCATCCTTCAAAATATGCTAGAATAGCATTAATGCTTAGAAATTACCCCATTACTCTCCTGGTTAAATTCTTCTATGATGCCACCAATGTCTATAAAATAATGCTATTTAAACCTTCTCTAATCTTGCCCTAATCTACATTGAGACATTTGCAATTATTTATCTGCATTTGACTTATACCATATTCTAAAGGAAGTACTTTTTTAACGAATACATCTACCATGTTTTCTCCTGGATGCTGTTGTTCTCGTATAACTTTTCTACACCACCAGTTCCAACCAAGCTTAAGTATAAACACCTCCTGAAATCCTTTTCTAATTCTATCTTGTAAAAAATAATCTCCCTCCTCTAAATTAATTTGCTTTTGTTTTAGTCTTACTCTTCTTAAGGCATTTACTGAGTTCTCATGTTAAAATTATCTGTATAGTACTATGATATAATTACACTCTGTGTGTGTGAGAGACAGAGAGAGAGAGAGAGAGAGAGAGAGTTTTCTATCATGTTCCTAGAGGGAAACCCACATTTTTATCACCTAGCATATTGCCTTGCAAATTGATTGTATCTAGCAATTATTTGTTGATTAAGTGAAAGGCATTCAATGTGACTTGATTTATTAAGTTATAAGATTTAATGAATTATTTTCTTTTCTGATTGAGTAGCTGCAAATATGTAAGCCTGGAACATAATACCTGGAATGAAGTGAATTTACCAGCCATCTAGGGAAAAGGACTAATTTATGTCTATTATGACTATTTAAAAGGGACTTTATGTCCATACATACCCCAAGATCAGTTGCTTGTAAGTGAAATGTTGTAACATTAGGAATACATAAAAGGAGAGCCAGAGAAAGTCAGCAAAGAAAAGTAGGGTGTGGGTGTGGGTGGGGAGAACGATAGGATTCTAGTCATTCTTGAGAAACATTAGTTCTTGAGATCAAAAAACGAAGGGGTCTTTAGCCTACATTGTTTCACCTTCTGTGATTTGCTGTTTGTCATCTGAGCTTGACTCAGTTTCTAACTGGAAAGCTCAGAAATCTGATTCCATGACTTCACTCCACAGAACCTGCAGTCACCTGCACACTGTAAACATCAATGTGTCGTGTACTATCTGCTAGGCACTTTGCTAAGTAGAAAAAGAATGTCAGCCCAAATGTTCTAACACTTCTAAAAGAACAGTTTGAATCTGCGGTTTTCTGCTCCCAGTATTTCTTTCTTTCTTTCTTTTTTTTAGTTTTTATTTATACATATTTATGAGGTACAAGGTTGACTCTCAGTATTTGTGTACAGTTTGTGATGATCAAATCATCATTAGCATGTTCATCTTTACAAATAGTAATTGCTTTTTGTGTCCCTTATCCAATTATTCTCTGTCTCCCCTTCCCCTCTCCCTTTCCCACCTCTAGTGACTATAGGTCTGTTCCCTCTTTCTGAAGTTCAATGTTTAATTATGGTCTTTCTTTCTTTGTTTCTTAGCTCCCACTCATGAGTGAGGACATGTGGTATTTCTCTTTCTGTGCCTGACTTATTTCACTTAACATAATTTTCTCCGAGCTCATCCATGTTACTGCAAATGGCAGAATTTCTTTTTTTTTTTTTTAATGACTGAGTAGTATTACATTGTGCATGTATACCACACTGCCTTATCCAGTTGTCCATTGATGGACATTTAAGTTGGTTCCATATCTTGGCTATTGTAAACAGAGCTGTGATAAACATGGGAATACAAGTATCCCTTTGACATGATGATTTCCATTCCTTTGGGTATATACCCAGCACTGGGATTACTGGGTTGTATGGTAGTTCTATCTGTAGTTGTTTGAGAAACTCTCCCAATATTTCAATTATTTGCTACTTGTTAAGGAAAGTAAAATATTGCACTATATAGCATTTTTGCTAATACTGAAAAAAAAATCTATAGTTAGCAGTTTGGTTTTTTTTGTATGGTTCATGGCAGATTTTTACAGTCGATATTTTATTCTTACTCTGTTAGTCCATTATAGGGGATATGAAACAGAAAAACTACCCTGATATTTTGGCAAATACTTAGAAAATTTCAGAACAATTAAAAGTTGGTGAGCATCTGATGTCACACTGCAAACACTTGCTTCTTATTTTTCTGCATATTTCTCACAGTACTTACCAAGGCATTAGATTTGTAATAAATTAGTAAAGATATGATTCAATTTACTTGGGAGATACAGGAAATGTGTTTTCTAGTTATTTTGTCAAATACAGCAAGTATCTCCTTGAAGGTATAGACTCTTTCATCTTCATTTTTATTAATTCCCAGAGTCTAATACAGTGCCAGACACAAGACTCAATAAATATTTGTTGACTGAATGTATGAATGAATTATTTAGTCAGTCAAAGTAATTATAAACCATGGAGGTATTTTAAGAAAGGGAATCACCTGAAGAGGTTAATATTTTGGAAAAATCATATTTGAGGTACTGGAGGGAAAGAATTGAAGGTCCTCAAGACCATTATTTTTCATGCTATTAGCATGGTTTATATTTTCCATTAATACCTTTTATAATAACTTTAGTGTCCCCTTTTGGCTTTATTAAGGTTTTTATGCTATTAGTAACTGGTTAAGCATAAAGCGTTTTATCACACTTCTATCTCTTGCTGTCTCATTCTTTATTTTCAGAAGAGAAGTAAAATGTATATGTCCCTACTTTCGTACTATCTTTGAATAAATGTCTTTAAAAGAGAAAGAAGCAGAACTGAGAAAAGTCCGTGTCTACTAGAAGTGCCCGTGTTGGATGGAAATAGCTATGCCCTTGTTCACCCAGCTTGCTCATCCGTCATCCTAAGCTCCGAAGTTGTGGAGGCTGGCAGTGGACTACAGTCTTTCACACTGGGCAGCTAGTCTTTTCTTGAAGGGGTATCTGAATGGCACATCCCTGACTTCCACAAGAAGAGGGCATTCATATTCTTTTTAAGAAGCAAACTTAACACTGGGACCAAAACCTGCATAAGATGGCACAGTGAAGATTAGAAATCAATCTCACTTAGAAACATGGATACAAAAAAATCTAAATAAAAATATTAGCCACCAGAAAAATATTACACATTTTACCAAGTGGGATTAATTTCGAGAAAGCCAGAATGTTTCAATATTCAGAAATGCATTAGTATCATTGGCCATACTTAGAACTAATGAGAAAAATTATATGATTATTTCCATAGATACAGAAGAGGCCTTAGACAAAATTCAACACCTATTAATAAATAAGACAGAATTCAAAATGATTGCTTGACATGATGAATCGCATAAATCAGTAAACAATTGGCAATACCAAGTATAATTGCTGGTGGACCTGAAAACTGGTATAACTGCTTAAGAAAACTGTGTATTCCAGAAATTTCATTCCTAGATATAAGATCAACATACATGTACAAAAATGTCCATACGTACAATATTTTTAATAGCCTCAAACTGAAAACCACATGAAAGTCCTCAACGATAGAATGAAATAGAAGAGAAATGAAAATATTGTGCAGAATTGAAATACCAGAACTAAAATACCAAAAATAATTGTTATTAACAATATAAATATATTTCAAAGAGCTAATATTGAACAGAGAAAACTAGAGTAAAAAGAATACATATGCTATGGTTCATTTATAAAAGTTGGAAAAGTATGTGAAAGTAATCTATGGCTACAGCAATTAAATCTGTGATTATCTGAGAAGAGTAATGGCTCGTGAATACATATGCTATGGTTCATTTATAAAAGTTGGAAAAGTATCTGAAAGTAATCTATGGCTACAGCAATTAAATCTGTGATTATCTGAGAAGAGTAATGGCTCGTGGCAACAAGAGGGAAGGCTGCTGAGGTGCCCGCAGTCTTCTCGATTTTTATCAGGTGTGTTCATGTTTTAAAAAGTCAGAACGCTGTGTACTCATATTTATGCATTGTACTGTCTGTACGCTATAATTCAATCATGAGTATAAAATGAATAATTATGACAATGAATCACCATATACTGAATAAAATAAAAAAGAATCAATGAGTCTATAGTAATATTCAATAATAAAAAGGGGAAGAATGCAAACTGTTATATACAGAAAAATGCAAAGTAATAAGTGATGATGGAATAAGAAAACCCGGACTTTTCAAACACCTTGTAATAATTGATATAGACATTTAGTTAGTCCTCAATAACAGGCAATTATTTTCTTAAATTGTTTTTGTTGTTGTTGTCATTGTTTTTGTTTTAATGGAATGGGAGGGGACTTAAACCTACTTTCTGAGACCTGGATAAACATGTTTGCCTGCCTGACTGGGTTAGAGTCTCAGCAGAGTCTTGTGTAGAGTATAGCTAAGGCAAACAGTTCCCAA